TCTAGGAGTCTGTCAATTAGGCTCCGTAAAAACGGAGTACCTGTGGAGTTGGATCACGGAACCCGGGCACAGGGAAAATCACGAGGTTAACACGCCTATGGTCTGCTAAAGCTAACTTTACAGGACGACGATTTTCTAGCGCTTCACGTGCTATGGCCTGCCATTGCTTTACAGCAGCTGCACTCTTTTCCTTTTTCTGCCTTTCCTTGTACTTTCCAAGTGTCTTCAGTACACAGGCCTTCACACACTGAGACATCTATGCATGTAATATACAACACGTAAAGTATTCGAGTCAGGTATAGCTGGGTTGCTGGCAACTGCGGGACTTCGTGCCGCAAATTTCGAACGGGACGAACAGGAAAGCTTATATGAAACCTGGAGGAGCTTCGGGCTAGTTTGTTGGGCCAAACACACGGAGCTGCTCTTAATGGAATGATTCACCCTACAATACTGTTTGCGATAATGCTCTGCATTCGGCTGTATCTCGTTTCGGCAATTTTGACGCAAAATTTGTACGAAAGGATGTTGGATTTCACGAAAACACCGACAACGCTTAATCCATAGTCCAATATATGAAATATGGAATTTAACGTGACACATAACACATGTGAGTGCCTCCGCTCGGGATTCGACAATCTTGGAACATGAACCGCAAGACGACTGCGTCCGTATTATGACAAACCCGAGACCAAGTTGGCGGCCAATTGTGGAGCAAAAAGCGATATTACAATCTCCGAAGTTAAGCCGAGATAACACCAGTATTTATTGTCGAAAAATTCAGAATCAGCAATGACACCTAATGCTACTGTACGTTCCACGAACTCATTCCAATGCACGGTGAAATCTAACGGGAAATAAACTCGTTAATACAGCCAGGAAAATTCAAACGGAGGTCGGCACCCGCAGTCAGGCCGTTGAAGATTCAGACTTACAATTCGCCGACTCTCTTTGGTGCCGCTTTTAATTACATGGCAGCGACAACTGCCTTTATACATTTGGTGTACCGCCCACAAAATTCACACCGGAAATCATCCGCCACCTTGCGAAGCTTTAAACTGCAGTCAAAAGCGAAAGCACACACTCATCATTATCATGGGTGATTTCAACCTACACTGTTTAGAAACCGCTGCTACAATTCGAGAACCATTAAAACCAGAGCTGCAAGAGCTCATAACCAGTGTTCCACTTGCCAATCACATCATTATGCCCATTCGTTTTAGAACAGGTAATGGATCATCTCTACTGGATCTAGTGCTTACCAACTAGGAATATATGATTGAGGTAATGGCGGTAGACTGCCCTATAGGTCGCAGTGATCATACAGTCATCGGTTTCGGTTACATCTGCTGTGCAGAATATCGTTACCAGAACATTGAGATGGGGCCCAACATTACGCGCTACAACCGCTTATCCCAGCTCGTCAGTATCACAATCTGCCCATTACTCGCTGCATGCCGTCCAGAAGTCGCTTGGCTCGCATTCGCCAAGAAATTCAAGCAACTGGTCACGGATGACTCAGAGACAAGGGTTTACAAGGGGCCTAAAACCGTTTCTTTCGTAAGAAGCAGAACTCGAAAATGGCTGAGTGTACGCAACGCAGCCTGGTGAGAGTATTGGTCATCACCAACGCCAGATAATTGGGACAATAACCATTGCGCTCAAATGCTCAGAGATGACAAAGTCGCATATCAGCAGAAGATGGCGAAAGCTTTCAGCGCTAACAACATACGGATGTACAAGTATGTCAATGACCATCGTAAGGTGAGACAGGGAATACCCCCACTCTGCATGCTGACGGACAAACTAGAACAGTTATAGAAGCAGCGTACGCGTTGCGGACGCAATATGCTCCCACATTTCAGGGTCTTCACATCAGGCCATCTTCCAGCTTTTGTTATCCGCATCCAACACTTACCCACATCTGTTTTACTGCCTAAGCTGTATTGCAGAAGCTGACGTCAGTGCACAGCCACAGCGCCCCAGGAGTTGACACCATTCGCCCAGAGGCACTGCGAGCACCAGCAAGACAACTGGCAAAATATTTGGCCCAGTTCTTTCAGCGCTGCTTAGACCAGAACCAGATTCCTGCGATGTGGAAGCTTGGAATAATAACTCTTACTCACAAAGGCGGAAGTAGCACTTAGCCCTCACACCACCACCTGGTGTCACTTCTCCCTGTATTAGCCAAGGTCATGGAATCCATCGCTGCCGATGCGTTGGTGTGTTATCCGGAAAATTGTAACATTGTTCCCGAGCAACACGGCTTTCCTCGACAGCGGTCGAGCACAAGGAATTTATTTGTCACACGGTGTAGTTGGATCGAGTCAGCTGACGCTGAATAGGTCGTTGACGTGATCTACTTGGATTTATTCAAGACATTCGATCCTTTGTCATCGGATCCTCCTTTGCATGCTCCAATATTACTGGACCGGTGACCTTTTCTTGCGCTGGACCGCCAGCTTTCAGTTGCAACGACATTAGTGGCCAGGGTCCGGAGTTCCCTATCCGACCCCAAATCAGTCGAGCCTGGTGTACCTCAGGGCTCAGTTTTAGGACCACGACGGTTGTTGATATTCATCAACGACCTTGAGCGGACAGTAGCTTCAAATCTCCCACTGTTTGCTGACGATATCAAGATATGGCGCCGGATTCAGACGAATGCCGATCAGAATTTACTGCTGTGTGACCTAGGTATGGTACATCGGTGGTCAAATCAAAATCCGCTACAATTTAACGTAGGCAAATGCAAGGTACTCTCCATAGGACACCGCAGTATCAATTCCTACAGGCCAGGAACGCAAATACTGCAGCGACCATCCGTCAAACGCTACCTTGGCGTGCTGGTTCAGGACAACTTGGGTTGTTCCAAGCAATCTGCAAAGGCACCGAAAACTGGTACCCAAAGCGTAGACTTGTTACGATGGGCGTTCGGACAAATAGACACCTATGTTTTAATACAAATGCTGGACACGTATGTTCGCCCCCATGTCGAATACAATTTAAGCTCGGCATCCTTGAGCGAAGCATGATCTTAATGCACTGGACCAACCACATGATCGGGCTTCTAAATACATCCATGGAATGCGCCACCTTCCATACAAGCAGAGGCTGAAACGTTCGGGAGTGTACAGCGGGCGGTATCGCCGAATAAGAGACGACTTGCTAATAGCATGCTTGATTTTACACAATCCAAATCATGTGTACCGTTCTTTACTGTAACAGAAGTAATACCAATCTTAGAGGTCACTCCTTGAAATTAACAGCACAGTACAGCAGTCTGGCATGCCGTAGAAATTTCCTTTCTGTTTGTGTGTGTCAACCAAGGAACGCTCTCCCCGTATGGGTTGTTTGTGCACCTAACCTAGCCATATTTAAAAATAGGTTGGATGAAGCATTCTGTCAAGTACATTTGGTTACATGACATGTCTCTCCATCCTACTCCTGGGAAATATCTTTGATTTACTTTTTCGCTTATTGAAGCTATTGGAACACTCGGAGTGCAAGGCTACTGCATTACATACAATAAGTCCATTCTTTTGACAGTCGAACTACTAATTGCATTTTTTCATTACTGTTTTTCCATAACCCACCAGACTACCCAATGGGGTTTGTAAAGCAGTGCTTCTTAACCCGTACAAAATCATTGTTCATTGTTCTTCTCTATCCGACCTGATTCAAGTGGAGCGCGGCATACCACATGGTTCGGTAATTGGGCCTCACCTGTTCTTACTTTTCATCAACAATCTGGCGAGAGTCATCACCACAAATTTTACTATTCGCGGACGGCGTTAAGGTTTGGCGAGTGATCAACGCAATACACGACCACGACATCCTCCAGTGCGAACTTGCGAAGGCATGGCACTGCTCGGTAAGGAACCCACTGTCATCCAATGTGGACAAGTGCCGCTTTGTCTACATCCGCCATTGACACGTCTACATTTACCATCGTGGGGTGCATGATCAACAGAAAAGCTCTCAGGAACGTGAACTCTGTGTGCTGGCTGGACCATCTCTGTTGTTCCAGGCAGTCAAAATCCGTTTCAGCGGTAACCAGCATGTTTGTCTCTTATAGATGGCATTCGGGGGTTTGAGTTCATCTATCTTATCCGTTATGACCAATGCCTACGTGCGTCCCCATGTAGAATGCGCCATCCAGACTTGGCATCCTTGGCTAAAGCATGACCTTGCAACAGTCAAAAATGCAGTCGTCTGGATTGTCGAAGAACTTATTTCTCCCTCCGGGTCTGCCAACCTTGGAACACACTTGCAAACACAGTTGTCTGTGCTCCAACCTAACTGTTACCAAAAAACGATTGGATATGGAAGACACTAAACTTTGTTACTTGAACGGTTATGCTGTATATTACTCGCGAGTAGCAAGATTGTAGTTGTAATTTTGTTAAGGCTTTCATTCCAGTAGTTCTGTATCTCCTCAGCCTTAGTTGCTTCTTTGGATTTATCACACACATTGACGCAAGTAAAGTTGTGCAGATGGGTGAATAACCTCCTTTTACTTGCTAGGAACATTAACCATCTCAACAGTTTCTTCGGTTTTGCCTGTACTATCTTTCAACCATGCCTTTTAACAAAATCACTCTATCGCTTTGCCCATGCGTATTTTATTTGGTCCACTTATGTAATATTTGAATTTCAATTTCTTCTAGTACCAACCTACGGGACATGTTAAGCATGTGATTGTTAACCCGTTAGTAAACCACTGTTCCAGTGTACATCCAAGCAGTACTAACGGATTGGGGTTTTGGCTTCATCACCGTTGTTAATCGGATTATGTTAAAGTCAAACAATGGTGTTCATAGTCTGGCCGAATTCGGATCATGTGCCTGCATACTTTTCCTGGGATGCTTGATCATTATTGCAGCGAAATCATGCAGCAGCTCAATAGTGAAATGTTTTTATAGGTTTTTAACGAAAATATTGATGGAGGTCTGGTTACCTCAACACAACACCACTGAACATTTCCTTGTGCATATACCATGCAGGTTTTACGCATGCTGGAGTTTGGGTGGCATGTTGCTCCTACCTTACACAATCACTTGACGTGGAGCATCGCTCTACCATACAAAGCTTCTTGCATGGCATTCACTATGGACTTGGCCGAGGATTGGGAGCTTGTTTCGGTGGACTAGTGATCTCCAGCTACGGTGAGCGAATAAAAAATAACATAACTGACTGACTTACATACATCTTCTAATGCTTTTGCGTTTTACTTGTATCCCGACAGGTTCGTTGTCACACAGTCAACACCGAGTCTCCGGGTGTCACCGAATCTAAACAGTTTGATGATGCGGCTCAACCACACGAGAATTCGGGATTTATGTAGATTGTTTTATTCACATGTTATCAATTACAGGGCAAGGCTTGTTTGGTCCGATAGAAATAGGAATGTCACCGAAATTGTTGACTCAGCGCTGGGTAACGTAATGTGCTAGCAGGATTTAACAGAATTGGAACTAAAGTGCCAGATTAAGTTGCCATCGAGTGTCATTTCTGAAAAGTTGCTAATTGCAGACACTTACCTAGCGTTTCTTATCTTCTCCTACATGGAATAACTGAAGCACTTATTAAAATCATACAAGTGCACATGGAAGTAAAATATCTGAAGTGCTGATTAGTATTCAATTTGTTCTCATCTCTCTCTGGTTGTGCTACTAGATAAGCATGTATAAGGTTTCCAGATTGATCTGCATAGCATGCCACATTGATGTTCGTATCTTTTGAACGTTAAAATGCTTCGTATCTCCCCCAGAACATCAGGTTCTGACATCGTGAAAATACTCTTCCAGAATTAATTCATAATTATAAAACAATATTCAAAGCGTTTAGAACTCTACAGCACTGCCAGGGTTACATCCTTATCCAGGAACTAGAAAGCCGTTTGCTATCAGACTTTACAGAGCGCTGAAGGTATCAACATATCCAAAATGTTCCCGTTACTGCGGCATACTATGGTACCGAGTAGTTATGAGAGCAAGCCTTGTTCATTGACTTACATAAAGGTGGTAAACATATTTGATTTACTTTCTGCAGCTGGCTACGGTGCCGCGCGATAACTGTGGGGCGCACGTTGGAACATATGTTTTGGCTCCTTGTAGTGATTAGTAATAACAGGCTTTTTACTTTGAAGTAAACCTTGACCCTAGTTGAAATTTCCTGTCCTAATCCAGACACAAGGCGGGCACTTCGAGGCACAGCAGTGAGTTCGTATTTTTATGAATTTGTTATCTACTGCCCACTCGACATTCCTGGTACATTTTTCTGATTGCAGTAAAAACTTATTATACCTTTTCGAACCTCGGATCCCATTGTGTTTGGCATCGTAAAGCACTACTTCCGCGTGCTTCCACTATCTCTAGTTTATTCGATAGTTGGATATATTGCATTCGTTGATTGTTGGGTTTCTTCTTGCGTTATTTCCGACGGATACGCCAGCAATCACCCATCCTACAATTTTAGTTAACCGTTATTTACTGTGGGCTTTCTACTAAAGCTTTTAATTACTTTAGCTAATGAAAGCTCGTCAAACAACAACCCTCCTTCAGATTGTTGTAGGCATCACTTGAGTTGGTGACCATTAAGAGTTGGCTTGATGCTGAAGATAATTGCAGAGAACTTCCACGAAGCTGTCGTAGTACTGTGGCGTAGTACTCATCAATTAGCTCAACATACTGTTCCCCCAAAGCTGGTATGAAGAAAAACAGCTTTTTCTCTCGAACCATAGTTACTTTCCCGCTTTGCAAACAAATCACTCGCACTTCATGCGTTCATCAGTTTCACTGCGGTCGTCTCTGAGTCATCAGCATTCATTCCGCTTCGCGGATCGTCCTCGATTCGGGCGACACACTAATGTGAAGGACAAGTTGTTTTCGTGCCGGCCAACAATACGACGATCAAGCCTTCACACTGCATACTTCTCAAACACTGCCACCGTCGTCGCATTATTAGAAATCCGGTCTGTATTTGATCTGGTCGATCGACCTGCTGCAAGGCCTTACTTGCTAAAGAACGGGGTCTCAGACAAGTGTGTGGCTATCCTATGGGTATTATACCTTTAGGTCCCCAGCAGATTGGGGGTTTGTGGCAATGTTTCGTCCCTCGTTTTCGGTAACAATGTATAACAGGGATGCTTTGGGTCCCGGTTCCCATCCAATTGTGCAACAGAAGACTTCCTGTCGAGAGCTCTGGAAGATTCCTATTACTTTTAGTGGAGCTTGTACTGAATGAGTGGACAATCGGCTGGAGTTGGGATGATAATATCTTCTTACTTGGTGACGATCTGCAAGCATGCAACTCATTCTGGACCGTCCGGCATTTAAAGTATCTAACTAAATTGTGTGATTCGGCCCTCGAACTGTATTTCATTTAGATTGTTCGAAGCCCCTGAATCTGCGATATCTATGGCGGCAGAAAGTAGTTTTCATCCGTCTGAATGTCGTATTTACAAAGCCACAGCGTGGGTCATCCTATTCTATGGAAGAGAGACTTGGTCCCTTCGATCTGAGAACTTGAGGTGCCTTCAGTTCGTTGATCATCGTTGTCCGTGAAGCACTGCCTGTGTCAGATGGCATGAGTTTGTCGGCAGCGGTAATGTGCGTGGGCGAGTGTTAGTCAATGATGAAGAGACTAGTTTCTTAGAACAGCAGGTAGCATTGAATAAGTTGCGTTGGACCAGGCACATACTACATATGTTCGGTTATCGCTTACCGAGGACGGCCTTATTTTTTCTACCAGATGTAGGGTGGCGCAGCTCTAAAGATGGGCAAAATTTGACTTATCAGGTGGAAATGAAGTCACTGATCACCGATTTCGTTGTCCTCGGTATGTTTCGCCTTCCATACTTGAGTCCACGTGACTCGTCTTGTGCTTGGCTCGAGACTTTACAGGATATGGCTCGCAACCGACATCAGTGGCGCGTCTATTGCCGTCTCGTAGTCGGACTGCCACTGGAAAGTGTGTTTGGAGCTGAGTTATCTCTGGGGTAATGGCTGATTATGACGCAGGGCAGTGAAAGCCACAAGGAAGCTGTCTCGCTGAAGCCGCCTTATCTTTGCGCGATAGCCAGCTGTTTGCGACGGTATGTTATTAACGTGTTGTAGATGCCTTGACCCTGAATGTTTAATTAAGACATTAAGGTTTTTCCATGTATCCCCCTTTTCTCCCTCTTAGGATTCTTCGTTTCATAGGTCGTTGTGGTTGTATGTTAGTGAAGCATCAGTTTAACTGGCTGATGTACTGCTGTTGACGAGTATTTTATTTGCGCATCACTGCCTCCTCATGGTGCCAGCTGGATAGTTCGCGATCTGTATGTTCCATCAAAATGTTCATCAACAGTGTTCCAATACTGCTGGGTTTTTAAAGGACAAGCGTTCGCTCTATGCAAAGCCACCACTGTCCGTTTAATAACACTGTGACGTGCGGATGTGACTTGCCACTACATAAATTCAATTCCCATTGCTTCGCTCGCTGGAACATTGTAATCCGTCAGCTGAACGCTAAAGTGCTGGGAGTACCGGGCCTCTGCATTGCAGCCTGAAAAACGAAAGACGTGTGAGCCGAGCGATCGGCGAACAGCTCCAAATGAGCTCGATTCCTGCAGCGCACCCCACTGTCTTGCGGGTCAGGTCCTTAGGATCGTAGGCTCCGTGTGCAGCCTTCTAAGTCAAGCTCCTTCTTGCGCATGGGCAACCGGGAAGCTATGTGTCTATACAACACATAACAAGATAGATTTCTGACTTTCTGCTCACGTTTCTCGCTCTTTGGGCGCTCTCTCTTCGGCTGAGTTGCTGGTGGCCGAGCATGCCAAAGTCGGCTCTACCACACCACAAACCAGCATTTTTCCACATTTATTCAACCCTCATGTTCATAGCAACGATTTTATTTTTTACCTCCAAAAACGCATTCCAAAGGAGAATAATTCTAACATCATCAATGGACCACTGAAAACCGAATGTACGCAATGCAATTGCAGCAGCATTGCTTTTATTGCACGTCGCTTGCCATTCAGGCAACTACTTTTATTATTCAAACGCCCATACAGGTTGCCTCAAAAATGGCTCTTGCGCGCATCTTGGAAACCCTTTCTATCGATGTGTGCTGCCTAACCGAAACCCGCTTATAGGACTTTAGCACAACTCCGCGATTACTGTTACCATCCTCAAGTTAAAGTTGCACGTTTATCCTGCGCTTACCTGGAGACGCGATAGCTGCTGCCACTGGCTGCGCCGGCGTAGGAGTTGCATTAAGTGCGTATGCTGAGGCAGCGCTCATTGACCGGTTCCCAGTCAACAGCCGTTTCTGTGCAGTCTGCTTGGAAAGCTCATTGTGAGCTTCAAGCCACGGGGCCGGTAGGGGTTGCTTATTCATTGTAGTGTCTTACGATCCCACGGACTGTAGCCCGGATGCAGCTAAAGATGAGTTCTACCACCAGCTCACTCACTTCCTCCGCACGAACATCGTGATGCTCGCCGGAGACCTAAATGCACAGCTCGTTAGACTAGAGGTTCATGAACGCGAAATTGACAGTCAGTACAGCCACGTTACTTGCAAGACAGACAACGGCGATCACCTCCTTCAGCTGTGCGTGGGTCACTGCTTGTTCCTTGCGAGAACCAATTTCCGACGCTCATGGCGCCAACCAGCTACTTGGCGATCTCCCGCGCCTGGTCAAGCGTGGACGCAGATTGACCACAGCGCTATCAGTTACCTTTGGCGGGGCTGCATAACGGACTGCCACTCAATTTGAAAAACTTGCTTGACTTCGGAGCATGCAGTCGTGTGTGCTAGGTTCGTCATGCGCTTTAGGGGCACCCAACAACATCGTTTCAAACGGTTCGACACAGAAAAGCTCGCTTTCCCAAATGTTCCTGGCACATTTCAGAACACATTAGACCCTAATCTGCGTTCGCTTTCCTATGACGTTGGGACAAATTGGGAAAGTCCGCTATCCTGGTCTACAGCTTCACTTGACTGGCTGCTAATCATCGGATCACCATAAAATCTCTCCACTTAATGAACAGCCGATCAACTTTTGCTAGAGTTGCGTACAATGCACTAAGTAGATCTCAAGTGCTGAACCCAAACAGCCTCTCAGAAAGGATCACGAGGTCTGATGGACAAAACGCGCCGTTCAGATGGAGTGGGCAAA